TCATCTTTTTTCGAGTGACAAAGTGATTTCCATGCCTCCCAGTGGATTTTACCTCCACTATCATTGTTGTTCCAGAAAAATTTAGATACTAAACTGTCCAATTCAATACAAGTATGCTTTAGAACTTTGAAATAGTAAATAGAAAAGATTAGGATTACACTACTGACTACATTTATCATAACTTTCATCCTAAATAAAGTTAAGAGCTTTTATTTCCACTCTTGCACCTTCCTTCTCATCTTATCCCTAACATATGCAAGAGCAACACGCTTAGATCTACCCTATAAAATAGGCAAATCCAACTATCTACCATGATTGTCAACACCATCAATATTCAGAGAAGAGATAGTAGCTTGCCTAACATCATCTAGGGCATTAATAGAGAAAAACATGCTTGATTTGTCATAGTTGACAGATTGGCCTTACACATAACAATAATCAGACAAAATTCTCTTAAAGATCAAGCAATTTTGTCTATAAGAAATCAAGAACACCAAAGTGTCATCAGCAAACAAGCAAAATGTTACCCTCAAACAACCCTTGTGATGCCTTGTAAAAGTAGAGATCATGGCAGAGAAAGCTTCAAAACCAAAATAAACAAGTAGTAGGGAAAGAAAGTCACCTTGATGTATTCCTCGTGGTTGGATTTTGGCAATGGTTCAACCAAAAAGTTGGATATCGAAATTCATGCTATCTACACAATGTAAACCCAATGAACCTATTTGGAGCAAAAACACATACTCAGCATTACCTCCTTCAAGAAAGTCTACTCAAGGCAGTCATAAGCCTTGTTCATATTCATTTTAGTGGCAAATTTATACTTGCCACCAAATTTTTTTCCAAGTAACAATAGATTTCATGGGCTATAATCACATTATCTGGAAGGAGGCAATTAGGCATAAAGGTATTGGTGCTCTAAAATACATGAATCTAGAACTAAATGAAGCCTATTGACTAGAATATTAGAACTTATAAGCAACACTATAGAAGCTTATAGGTCTAAATTGAAATACAGTTTTGAGATTCTTCACTTTAGGGATCAAAATCAAATTGGTCTCATTCAATTTTGTAACCAAGTAGTTTCCTTCAAAGAATTCAGTAATCATAACAAGAAGAGAAGGTTTTATCTCAGTCCCTAAGTATGGATAAAAATGGCCATTAAATCCATCTAGGTTGGGATTTTGAAATATCATAATGTATAACTAAATCTAAACATTGTGATCTTTTTTACATTAATAAGAATTGACAATTAGATTCTAACGAACTTGGTTATATTTTGGGAATTTCTACCTAATTTTTTCATTCTTTTAATCCCTTCTAAATTTTATATAATGTCACCTAAGAAACTAGGGAGAATGAAATTAAAGTCTCAAACCAACGAATTTATGGTACTTGGTGCTACAAAATTTACTAAACAATTAGTTGTGAATATTGATTTAGATAAATATAAATTTAAGAGTTCTAACTACAAATAAGACATGTATAAAATGTTTAAATGTGTGAATTTATATTTGGGCTAAATCCCTATTCTACACTTAAAATTGTATAGATTTGGATAAAATACAAATCTAAATTTTATTTTAATTCCTTCATAAATTAAAATCCTTTCTAAATCTTTATCACTTCAAATCTCTTTGTTTTTTTTCCATCTGTTATTTCAAATCTTTGTATGCACCCTTAAATACTTCCTAATAATAATAACTTTTATTTGTTAATTACTCAATCACAAAAATTTAAATATATGGAGATTTAATCCAAATATACCAATCTAAACACTATTTTAAATTTCAATATAACTCTCAGTTTGCAATTTAAATTCAAATCTACTAATTTAAACACTGCCTTAAATTTTAAATATGACTTTCAATTTATAGTTTGAAATTCTCGTAGGCAATTATTTGAATCAATATTTACCACTTAATTTTTTTTAAAACAATTAAGTAACTATTATTATCAGGTCCAAAATCTTCTCCTTTCCTTTTTCTTCTCCTCATCCTCATCTTTATAATGTTTATCTTGACATTATCAGGAAATGAAACATGAGACACATAACACTATTATGATAATTAGGATTACTTAATTATTTATATGAAGTTATCATAACTCAAGGGTTAAATAAAGGTTTAAAAGACTAGGATCTTAAGAAACCCTTTTTGAAAACATAGTTGGGCTCAAACCATAGTTTAAAACAAGTTAAACAAAGTAATGGAAGTATGAAAATTAATTAACATCACAATCAAGCATAAAAAAAGACATTTTAGACAACCCCTAAAATGCTATATTCAACATGGCATACATATCATCTACTGTGGCGAATAGCAAAGAGGGATTACATCTCTCACTGTGCAATGTGCTATAGTCCACCCCTATTATCATGATAGCACTCTAATACCAACTTTCGAAGCGCACTATTTTACCCTGTTCGATTTGAACAATTTAAGTATTCATATATAGCTCATTGAGCCCTTTAGCTATTGGCATAGGTTTCACATCCATATACTTTACCATTCAAAAATTGAACACCAAGACACAATTCTAGTCCGTTTTCAATTTAAAACCACAACATGGGTATTCAAATTCCCCAACCTAATGCCAATAGCCTTAGAACTACTTGAATCAACTGAAATGGACCACCAACAACCTGATAAACTAATCATACAACAACAATAGCATTCCAAATACAAATTGACAATTAAAACACCAAATTCACATAATTCAAAGGGTGACAACAAATCACATTTAACATTCTCTTTGCCATTTCACACATACAAACAATACAACAACGCACTTGCATTAGTATCTCGGTGCCTAACAATGATTTCATCACAATCACAACCTCTCTGGCCGAGATACCCACAATTACATAATATTATGCAACTGTAACAAAATAACGTATGTTCCTAAGTTGGTATATTCAATACAAATTCATTGCAATTGCAAAAAAGAGTAAGAGGGCACCATGCAAACTCAACTCTCAATAGCAACTGCCTTCCCTTTACTCCTATCAGAGTCTTTTCCTATAAAATGTAATCATAGGATGAGTTGAGGATTCAGTAACTAAATAATCTAAATAAACTATTCGTGTATGAGAATAGTTAGTGAGCATGTGAAGTGGTAATAAAACTGCAAGTTAGATATTAAGTTTACATACACATATGGCTATAAAATAATGATATGCATGATCAACACATTGCCTTATACCCTTCTTATTTCTTTTGATTAAATTTATGGGCTAACAATTTGATAGAACCAAGTCAATGTGACAGGATTGGCTCAAGCTCATCAATCATAGGAGGCAGCCCTAACCTAAGGTGCCTTCATCCATTATGAACCACATATTCCCCCCCCTTTCCTTGAATGCCAGAGGTGCCATATGCCTGATTTATCTTAAATAGTACTGGGACTTTCAAACAAGAATAAGACTAAACATCAAGGCTTTCATGGTGCTAGTATACCATATAGATTTCATACAATATCTACTAATAACATTAGGGTGAACTCCTACCCTTTCACAATGATCATGTCCAAACATTATGCTCAAACATTTCCACACATAGCTATACACATGTAATCTATTCATGAACAATCATTTTCATAATGAATCATACATTTTGGCAAGTATATACACATATACATAGGATTTAACATGAAATATTTCAAAAAATCCATATATGCAAACATATGAGCACATTCCACTTAACATAGGGTTTCTAAATTCCAATCATTTTATATTTTTAGTATACTAGTTCAAAATAAATATGAAGTAATTTTCGCAATTCCATACAACCATTGAAACACACAAATAATAAGTTTAAATAATTAGGTTACTTAAACTATTTTATCACTAAAATGGTTATCATGGTGAAATACAAGCTCCACAAGTGTCCACTTGCATAATGGAACACGATTAATATTTAATCTACAAAATTAAATGTAGATTAAACATTAATCAATAATTACAATTCTAATTAAACCCTTTTTAGCCTAATTTTGGTTATCCACCATACCAAAAATCTCCCTTTAATATCATCAACACTTTTAATAAACTCCATTAATTTTCTTTTGCAACCAAACACTTAAACAAATACATATCTCTATCTATATTGCTCCCAATAGCTGAAATTTGACTTAGAGTTCGTCTAAATCCTGCCAAAAAATCTCAAACCACTACAAAAATCTTAAACCTAAGTTTAGAAGTTTGATTTAACTCTTTAAGACCTTAATTAAGCTAATAGGTTCAATTACAACTCAAGAAAATGAAATCAAACCCCAACAATATTTAAAACCACAGAAATTTTGCATAAAGGGAGAGAGAGAGGTATAGGAAGCTTACCTAAAGCTAAACCTTGCTCAAAATGTTCCCACATTGCTCCTAAAATGATACCCTAGCACTAACGAGCTCTCCCTTCATCTCCTCTCTTATGTTTCCTCACCTTCTTCTTCTGAAATTAGATGTATTTTGCATCTAATTTATTTCTAAAATGAGTCATGCGCTGCAGCACATGGCACAACAAGGCCATATACCATTTTTGGCCACCCTCTTAAGTCTGGTTAAATTGAATACCATCCTAACTTATTTTTAAAGCTGTGCAAAGGTCTAAAAACCTTATTAATATCCCAAAAATATCATAAATTCATAAATATCTTAATTTGACAAATTTACCCTTCTTAACACTTAAAAATTCAAAATTCAAATCTAGGATATTACAATCTTCACCCTTAAACAACAAAATGAATGGTTGTTTCATAAAATAATTATCATATTATCATATAAAATTAAAAATAAATTTAAATTGTTAAAATGTAACCTGTAAAGTTTACAATTGCATTTTGGTATTAATTTTTTTTATGACTTAATTTTTTTTATTTATTTTATTACAGTTATAAACTATGCAGATTAAATTTTAACAATTTAAAATTATTTATTTATTTTTTAATATAATATTATGATGATTGTTTCATAAAATAATTGAATCTGAGAGGGAAGGAATGAGGAGGGGATCTCCTCCCATTATTATCGGTATCCCAAAAAAATAACTGCTGAGTAGCTTGACAGTTCACAGCTAATTCCAAACCTATCGCCCAAAACCATCCCCAGCAGAAGAAGCGAAGTCATCTTGCGAGGTGCAGCCACCGGTAAGCTCATCCCGTACCAGGAGAAATCGTTTCTGCTTCTGATACTTTCTCCTTGTATTTGTTCTTCCTATATCTTTCTGCTTGCTCTAACTGCTTGAAACCGTTCTTTTCGTGTGTCGATTGAATATGCTTATTGCTCTTTCAGCTCGTGCTTGTGATTCCGTTTCCATTGTCGTTCTAGTTTTTCATATACATATATGGAATACAAAATGCTTCGGTAGCTTTATGTTGCTTCTTGGTTTATAAACTTGTGCTTGTGATTTCATTCCCATTTTCGCATGCTTCTGCTTATGTTTTGATTATAAATATGCTTCTGCATATGGTTGCTAGACATTGTTCTGCATATGGAGATAATTTCGAATGCTTCAGCATTTTTGTGTGTTTCGATTATAAGTATGCTTCTGCATATGCAATTGGAGTACGCACTTTCTTTATTTTCAGAAGGGGCAATTTTATCTTTGGGATCATGATCTTATGTTTAACCAAACAAATATATTCACTTTTCTTTCTTTTTTATCTACTAGTCATTACGTTACATTACATTTTTTTTTCAATGTAATTCTCCTAGCTAGCACCCAAAACTATGTAATATATAATTATATATTTTTATTAGTCATTTATTAAGAAGCTTTTATAAGTTTACATTGTGAATTTCTTACGTTATAATTCACCCTCCCTCTCCAAATTCAACTAAAGTCGCAATTTTTTTTTTTAAATTATGTATGGGGGTTAAATGTAAAGCCACAGGTTTCATGTAACTGAAATTGCAGTTTCAGTAAGAGTAGACCCCTCTCTAGCTTCTTCTAGTTCCAGATCTCAGTTTACCTTTCTTACAGCCCTTCCTTTTCCATGTGTGGAACTAATCATAGTTCCTTAATCATCTGCATCTTTGGTCTCCTCTTTGAAATCCATCAACACGCTGAACCTCTTTGCACTGTAGTTCCAATCACTGCTGTCTCTAGCCTTCTCTTTCCTTCCTCATTGTTGCCTTCAACATTGGCATCTCCTGCTTCTGTCACACTTCTCCATTCACAGTTCTCCAGGGTCTTGTGCAAAATAGAAACAGTTAGTCTTTGCGCATTGCGTCATACAAACTCTGGTTGCATCTGTAACAACTTCTCTAGGAGGTTGGTTTCTCTTTCTCTGTTCCTTCGTCGCTGTTTTATTCAAACAAACTCCATTTGCATTGCATCATGTGAAAAAGAAAGTTGGTGCGCTGTTTGAAATTTATTGTGAACTGAATTAAGCGTTCTTGTGTTTGCAGTTTGAGCTGCTGGTACTCTGTTTCTTGTATTTATTATTGATCAGGGATTCAATTGATAACAAATAACTATGGCTGTTCCATATTCAACCTTGATGTTATGATTCCTAGCTGTTCTCCCGTTTAGAAAGAAGGGAGAATGATGCATTTGAACTTTCAGTTATCAGTTTGCCTGCGGAATTTCTTGAGAAACTGAAAGTGATGATACATAGCCAACCATGATGTCCTGATTGTCCTATCTAGATATCAAGGGGAAAAAAGCATAGCTGATTATGTGTTGCTTATTCTTTTTGTGGCTTGTTCTATGCCTGCTTTCAATTGCAATACCATTTTTGAAGCTTCAAATGATGCACATATCAGATTTTCATCCTTTTTCTATGAGATGATAATGTTGTTATTAGTTTATTCTGGATGGATATTACTTTTCTTTAGGATTTAAATGTTACTTTAATGATTAGATGATTATCTTTTCTATTTTTATATAAATTATTTAAGTTAAAAGGGCAAAAATACCCATGAACTTTTTCTTCAGGAGCACCTAGTATCATTAAGTGAAAAAAGGTGCAAAAGTACCCCTAGCGTTAATGATGTGGGTGTAAAAGTGCTCAAACCATTAAGTTTGACTGATATTTGTTAACGTTGACCGTTAAGAAAAAAAGAAGCAAATATGAGGTGCACAAATACTCATAAACTTTTTATCTAGGTGCAAAAATATCCAAATTATAAAATATTATTTTATTTTATATTGTCTTTTCTAGTCAATTTTAACTTTATTTTATTAATTATAAAAAATAAATTTGAGTCTTCAAACTAAGCCTATTCAGATTTGGACTTGGCTCAGATTTATTAGGATTTATTTGGGCAGCTTGAATAAGCACCAAATAAAGAAATTTTTCTAAACTTCCAAACTAGTACTAAGATTTTTCAAGCTTATTTAGGTTGGCATGTCGGGCTTCACTCAAATTATTAAATCTAACCTTTCCCAATCTGTTTAAATAACTTGATGTTGACTATGAAGTTCTAAGAATAGAACTTAATGGATTAGGGAAGGTTGGCCTATTAATCCAAGCCAAGCTCAAACCAGAATGACTTTAACCCAAGTACTCAAATTCTTTTTTATTATTAATAAAATAAAAGTAAAATTAGATAAAATTGAAATTGACTAACAAAGAAAAAATAAAATAAATAATATTTTATAATTTGGGTACTTTTGCACCTAGATAAAAAGTTTATGAATATTTTTGCACTTTATATGTGCTTCATTTTTATTAACTGTCAATGTTAACAAACATTAGTCAAACTTAATGGCTTTGGCACTTTTGTACCCACACCATTAACATTAGGGGTACTTTTGCACCCTCATTCACTTAATGATGTTGGATGTCCTCGAGGAGAAGTTCATGGGTATTTTTGCCTTTTAATCTATTATTTAAAATATGTTAATTAAATAGTAGCCAAGTTGATGGTTTAACTACGATTCAACTATTTTGCTTTGATCCAATATCCTAACCAGTTTAATGACTGGTCCTGTTTTTTAATACCTTGGTCTCCCCTAATGCAGTGCACAGAGTATGTGTGAACCTGTTGCATTCCTATAGTTTGGGATGGCAGAAGAGGGAGGAACAGTCACTAAGGAATGCGAAGAGAACCAGATACAGAAAATTGAGGCTGATAAGAGCATGGCCCCTTGGGAGCAACACTCAGCTGTGATAAGCCTCCCTCGCTTTGACTATGCTGCTCCGTCTTCAATTCTCCAGCATTCTCATTGTGGCTTTCTTGTCACTTGTACTATCAGTTACTGCCCCATCTGTCCCTTTCTTCTACTCAGCTCAATTTCGAACACCATACAGCTATCATGCAGAGACACATCAACAACTTGTTTCTCAATTCTGGGTTACTTTTCGCATAGTGATTTTCACCGTGCAAATCTGCATTTCCTGCTAAAAAACGCTTATCCTATATCCATGAGAGGGACTGCAGACTATTTAGTTATTGTCATCTTATTTATGAACTAGGAAATACCCTATGACTTTAATAATTGGTATTTAATCTCAATAAACTTGCAACGTGCAAAATATTCTTGTCTTGGTTCTCATTTACCTAGTCTTTGGATGGGGAAATGTGATTGAAATGAAATCTATGGCACAATAAATAACTCTTACTTGATTCCTTTTGAAATATGATTTGAATTTAGGTTTTATTTATGCTTATGTTGTTTGAATGGTCAATATTGTTTTCTCTACAGGGAGGGAGAAAAGTGCTACTAAGGAAGTGTTGTCTATCCTTGGAAAGGTATCCTTCATTACCCTTTTAACATGTTTCCAAATTTACTTCGTTATAAAACATTTACAGTTGAAGAAAAGTTTTTCTTAATGGTAATGAATATTCTAAACCTAGATTCAACCTGTAAAACGAAAAAAAGATTTCCTGGGCTTGCTGCTCTACTTTATTCATTGGACTTGATTTGTATACTTTAGAAAAGCAAATAGGTGAGATAGATGTTGATGGAACTCAGCTGCATTTCGGATTATTAATGTTTGAAAGACTGAGATTATCTTCTGTCCAGTGTAAGGTGAGAGGAATAAGCTCAGGGAATTACTATTAGCAGTCACAGCTCAGAGATAGTGATCAAAAGTACTATTAAACTCACCTTCCTCCTACTTTTCTCTCCCCTTCCTATATTGCCCCATATTCCCTCATCAGAATTACTTATAATTCCCTTGTCCTTTTCTCCTTCTCTTTGCTAAAATGTGTTGCCCTTTTCTTCTCTGATATGTTTGGTGGGCCCATCAGATGTATGTCTATTTAGAGAACGATTCCTTATAATCAAAAGATGTCTTTCATGTCCAACTATATGATGATTATTAGCATATTCAGGATTGAGAAAAATTCATCCATACAGTTTCCTAATTATCTAGTTCCTTTCCTTCTAACATTCATCTTCTGATTTACAACTCAACCAACCTTTTCTTCTCTGATATGTTTTGTGGGCTCTGATATGTTTTGTGGGCCCATCAGATATTTGTCTATTTAGAGAACAATGCCTTTTGATCACTAGATGTCTTTCATGTCCAACTATATGTTGATTATTAGCATAGTCAGGATTAAGAAAATTTCAACCATACAGTTTCCTAATTATCTAGTTCCTTTCCTTCTAACATTCATCTTCTAATTTACAACTCAACCAACCGTTTAAGGGATAGGATAAATTTGCTCTTGTATTTCATAAAGCTGTTTGTAGCATTGACATGGTAAAATGCATAACTGCGTTGGAAAGTTTGATTGAAAAGATGATCTTGAAAGTGAAGAGTAATTTCGCATGTTGTTTTGGGATGGCATGCCTAAACATGACTCGCAATTAAATCAGAAGTTGAGGTGGATAAGCATTTGCTAGATGTTCATGCTGAAAAAAATAAACAATTTCTGGATGTGGAGTTTTTTATCGATTTATTTTCTAAGTTTGCCTTTGAATAACCATTTGTTATGACAAACTAAGCACTCTTCAAGGTGTCATTAGTCCTTTCTGGAGAGTAATTGTTCTGTAAAAATATTAATTTGTAATTTATTATTCTCATTCTGGGAAGTTGAAACTAACTTTTGATGGAATAACCACTTTAATGCCAGCAAATTTTAATGATATTTAAATGATTTTTTAGAAAGCCACTTTTCCACATTTGGGCCTATGTGATTGTAAACGGATTATACAGTGCTATCAACTGTCACACTGTGTAAGTTCTCTTCTCATATCATTGTGGCTATGTTCATGCTTTACACAACAGAAGATGATTTACAAGTACATTGATTTAGCTTTATTTTTTTTTTCTTGTTTATTTTTCTCCTCGTACACTTTGGGATGTAATTTTGTTACAGTATGTTGATCCCTTTAAAAATGGAGGTTATAATGGTTCGGACAGCCATGAGAAAAATAGCACTGTGAAGAGAAGGAGGATGTGCGCTGAAGATATTGGCAGAGAATGTTTAGACTTGGAAGCAACTGACTCTGTCATTGTTAAATCTGCGGAAGGTACTGTTTTTTCTCCCCCTTCGTTTATTCCCTTATTGGAGTTAAGAGTTATGACTGAGTTTTAGGTTTATTGAACAGTCTTGAGCTAAGTGATGACAGGTAAACTTTCAGACGAAACTCACTCAACTCCTACACAAGCAGAGACAAGCACTAGTGGAGCTTTTGATCTTTCATTAGTTAAGCTGACAAGGAGTGGGTTACTTCTTTTTACCTTCCCAAGGAATGCTTTGGTTGACACTGTTGACATTGTGTCAAATATCATTCAATCTTTGGGGTCTGGTAGTGTAAGTTCACCAAAGTAAGTGAAGTGAACAATTTAAGTTGTATTTGTTAAATTCTTTATTTTGGTAAGGGAGAAGTTTGATGAGTTGGGTCTTGGTAGCTCACTGAAGGAGGGTATGCTTGATGGCTTAAAAAGTGCTTGTAGGGATATTTACAAACAAGGTCTGTACATTAGTTACAGAACTTGAACTCACAACCTAGTGGCTATGGGACTGATCCTTTCCAGTTGAATCAACTTTTTTTGTATGCTAGTTGTTCTTGTAAGTGAATGACAGTAGCTAGGTTGCAACTTCTTGGCGTACCTTTTCCTAAATGTCTGCAATTTATTTGTGGATGAAAAAGGGTTTGTTGTCATATGTCTCAGTGTTGTTGAGGGCATGTTTGGTTCCAGCTTAGTTGACCATGCATGACATTCAAGACATAGGTGAAATATTTCAATGTGATTTTGGCAGGGTTCCTTTGAGCTGGTATTACTTAGGCAAGCCCTTGGACAAAGGTGTGCAACTCCTGGGGTGCTTGTCCTGTGTTTGATGTTTCAGCCTGTTTATTTGTCTCCACTTTAGATCAAATCCAACCATGATTCAATATTTCTTGTTGGCTTCCAATTATTGGTGTCCCATGTAGTTTCCAACTTTTCTCTTGGGCATTTTCAAAACGGTGACAGTGATCACAACCAAGGCCTCCCCTCCTTTTTAGTGGTTGTCATTGTTATTCTCATCTTTAGTCAGTAGCGGAAATGTGGTTGACCTATATTTAATGTAAATATTATTTATTAATAAAGGGGATACTGTGAGGAGTAAAAATAGGGATTTTGTAGATATCCTATTCCCGAATATCCTCTCCTGATTCCATCTCCTGATTTCTTGGAGATTTGATCATCTTCTCACATGTATAAATCAGTGTACATACTCTGGGATTCAATAATAAGAGTTTTTCGGTCTATTTGCTACATGGTATCAGAGCAACTAGCAGATATCGACGCCGAAAACTCTGAGACAGAAAGCACCGAAGACGAGACACAAGAATTGCACCCGATTCACACTTCTCCAATGTCGAAGAGTGATGGGTCCTCGCAAATCGATCCAGATAAGGCCGGTAGTCCCCTCGGGTCGATCACTGGTCATGACGGATCATCGGTGCTCGTGGTTACCATGAAACTCAATGGCTCGAATTATCGGGTATGGGCACAGGCTATGTGACTTGCGATTGGAGGCCGAGGGAAGATGGGTTACCTCGATGGCTCATCAAAAATTCCAGAAGAGTCCAGAACGCAGGAGCTACAGCGATGGCATACCGAAAATTCGTTGGTATCATCGTGGCTGATCAATGCCATGATTCCGGAAATTCAACAGAGCTTCATATTTCTTCCATCAGCTCATGAAATCTGGAAAGCTGTGCGAGATTCATACTCTGATGGGAAGGATTTGGCGCGAATATATGAGCTTAAAACAAAAGCATGGTCACTGCAGCAGGGAGAACGTGATGTCACGGCTTTCTGGCTGGAGCTGAATACCATCTGGCAGGAATTAGACTTGATGACAGAAGTGGAATGGTCTAGCAGTAATGATGCAATCCGTTATAAGGAGCAAGTCGAGAATGAACGGGTGTTTCAGTTTCTTGCAGGACTGAATCAATCTCTAGATGATGTACGGGGGCGCGTTCTGAGCCGTATGCCACTTCCATCCACTAGAGAAGTATTCTCAGAGGTACGTCGAGAGGCTTCAAGACGCAAGGTAATGACTCCTGGAGCTATTTCTGCACCGACTTCTTCCTTGGACACTGCTGCACTTGTGAGCAAGGACAGTGATTCAAATCATAAGAACCAAAAGGGGAAGGTCACTTGTGAACATTGCAAGAAGATTGGGCATACCCGTGACACTTGTTGGGATATACATGGAAAGCCAGCCGATTGGAAGCCGAAAAAGGGCAAGCAACGAAGTTATCAAACTTCTCATGATGTACCGCCAGATAAACCAGACTCAATACCTGAAATTGATAAGGAGCAACTAGGTAAGCTACTTGAGATGCTTAGTGTGTTGCAGAAGAATGAGAAAAACCAGAAACTGAATCCTACTGCATCTGTGGCTCACAAAGGTAAATGTGCCTTACTTACTTCTAATAGTAACCCCAAATGGATTGTTGATACTGGGGCAACTGATCATATGACCTCAAATGTTAAACTATTCAATACCTATATTCCTAGCGCTGGGAATGAAACAGTAAGTACAGCTAATGGATCTTCCTCGTCAATAGCAGGAACAGGAAGTGTGGTTATTTCTAAAGTCATGAGACTGAATCATGTTTTACATGTACCTTACTTGGCTTGTAACTTATTGTCTATAAGTAAGTTGACTAAAGAGGCAAATTGCTGGGCTCATTTCTGTTCTACTCATTGTATTTTTCAGGACCTCTTATCGGGGAAGATGATTGGCAGTGCTAAGGAGCATAACGGTCTCTACTATCTCGATGAATCAACCGTGAGTAGTCTTTGGTCTCGAATCCAGTGTCACATTGCAAATAAAGACTTTAATGATCTTATGTTATGGCATAGGAGAATGGGTCATCCAAATTTTCAATACTTATGTCGTTTGTTTCCTGAATTTCAAGTTAATAAAATTTCTTCATTTCACTGTGCTGAGTGTGAACTTGCTAAACATCACAGATCTGTGTTCAAACCTGTTGAATATAAATCTACCCGTCCTTTTTCCATTATTCATAGTGACTTATGGGGTCCTACTCGTATTGCTAATCGTACAAATACTAAATGGTTCATTACATTTATTGATGACCATACTAGAATGTGTTGGGTCTACCTATTACAAGATAAATCTGCTGTGCCCTCTGTCTTTTCTCAATTTTATACAATGGTAAAAAACCAGTTTGACACCACAATCCAAGTCCTCCATACTGACAATGGCACTGAATACTTTAATAAAACCATGGATATGTTCCTCACAGAACATGGAATTGTCCATAAAAGTACCTGTCCTAACACTCCCCAACAAAATGGTATTGCGGAACGGAAAAACAAACACCTCTTAGAAGTTGCACGTGCCTTGCTCTTCACTTATAACGTTCCCAAATATTTCTGGGGAGATGCAATTCTTACCGCTACATATTTAATCAACCGCATGCCAAGTCGTGTCCTCTCATTTACCACACCTCTTGAGAAATTAAAAGAATCTCACTCCATTACTCATCTTGACACCAACCTACCACTTAAAATTTTTGGTTGTTCCACTTATGTTCACTCCCATCACTCCCAAAAGCTGGACCCTAAAGCCATCAAATGTATCTTTCTTGGTTATTCCTCTACACAAAAAGGGTATAAATGCTTTGATCCTCATACCAAGAAACTTTACATAAGCCGAGACGTTAGCTTTGTTGAGCATGAGTCCTTTTACCCAAACACTTCAAGTCAGGGGGAGAGGGGGAGTGACTTTCAGTTTTTGGAAAGTGAAAGTGAGAGGCAAAGGGGTAAAGAAATCACCACCATTCATGATTCTGATCCCTTCATTCTTGCACCAACAAACTCTCAAATAGAGTCTGAACTCTTAAACCCACAGTCCACCGAATTCAGGGTCCAATCTCCTAGGCCAGAAACTGAAGTAAAAAGTCTTTCAGATTGCACTGAAATTGCTGGAAATGCACTGGAAAAGACACCCATAGTCTACTCTAGGAAGAAATGGCGAGAAAGGGAGACTGTTATACCTGAAGCACAACCAGAATTCGAACCACAAGAGGCTCCTGAAGCTGGGAAAGCGGAGACAGACTTACCGATAGCCCTCAGAAAACAACCCAGAACTTGTACACAGCACCCCATCCAAAGGTTTGTGAGCTATCAGACTCTATCCTCACAATTCCGCACTTTTGTAACTAACCTTGATAAAGTGAAGATTCCCAATGATGTATATGAGGCCCTTAGCATACCAGATTGGAAGAATGCTGTGATAGAGGAGATGAATGCTTTAACAAAAAATGGCACATGGGAAGTTGTAGAGCTACCAAAAGGGAAGAGGGTTGTGGGCTGCAAGTGGGTGTTCACCCCAAAATATGATGCTGCTGGTAAGTTGGACAGATTAAAGGCACGGTTAGTGGCAAAAGGGTTCACCCAAACATATGGCTTGGACTACAAAGAAACTTTTGCCCCTGTAGCCAAGCTTAATACTATCAGAATCCTAATCTCTGTGGCTGTAAATCTGGATTGGCCTCTCCAGCAGCTAGATATTAAAAACGCCTTCCTAAATGGTGACCTTAAGGAAGAAGTCTTCATGACACTACCTCCAGGTTTTGAGGCGGGAAAGAACAATCAAGTGTGTAAGCTTAAGAAATCCTTGTATGGCCTAAAACAATCACCGCGGGCTTGGTTTGACAGATTCTCGGAAGTCTTGAAGAATGAAGGATATAAGCAGGGATTGTCTGATCACACAATGTTTGTAAAAATGGAAGGTGGTAAGAGGTGTATTCTCATTGTATATGTTGATGATATAATTGTCACAGGTGACTATGAGGAAGAGGTAGATAGAGTAAAGAAGGCTCTTGGAAAGGAATTTGAAGTGAAGGATCTTGGTAACTTGAAATACTTTCTGGGCATGGAGGTTGCAAGATCACAAAAAGGGATTTATATGTCTCAAAGAAAATATGTTCTCGACTTGCTTACTGAAACAGGAATGTTGGGATGTAAACCTGTAGAGACCCCTATTGTTGTGAAGAAGAAGGGGAAGAAATTAATAAAAGATATGGAAAATCAAGAAGATGAAGTTGAACCTGAGGAAAATGATTGTGAAGAAGAAGGAGAGAAGAATGAGCCTGTGGAAAAAGAAAGATACCAGAAGCTAGTTGGGAAACTGATTTATCTCTCTCATACTCGACCAGACATAACTTTTGCAGTAAGTGTGGCAAGCCAGTATATGTGTGACCCTAGAGAAAGGCATATGGAAGCTGTATACAGAATCCTAAGGTACTTGAAGGGGACACCAGGTAAAGGATTATTGTTCAAGAAGCAAAGTCTACGAT